GCTCTGTCAGAAACAAATTACTGTCCTGGATCCTCTAATCTAGTCTAATGGTCTAATCTGGTCTAATCTAGTGTGTACATGCCTCTCTAAAGGAAAACATTACAAGCAGAAGTGTGCTTCTTCCTACCCGCCTTTGCAATAGAAAAGAGTGATTCAAACTATGATATTGCCATTGAAATATTACAAATATTGAAGTAGGGTTACCCCTCATTTTTAAGTGTGGTAATTTATTTAAATGATTTAATTTTTGACACTCTCAAAAAAACCCCAAAAACAAAAAACAAACCATATTTTCATCCAAATACTCATTAGTGCAAAGATCACAGGACAGGACTATATAGACAACTCTGAAGAGAAGACAGTGCTAATTTAATTTAATCAAAATCTATTAAGTATTTACATAAATACAATCCTCCAAGGAAATAAGCTTTTATTTTGCCAAGAGCAGTTCCTTGAAGGATGATAGGGCAAGAAATACTAAAGGTATTATTACAAAAGGTTATTTAGAAGTATTAATTTTAATTATATTGGATAATACTGAGGCTTCCCATTCTTTCAAAAATGAATTCATTCTGCTTGCACCAGTTTATAGTTGCTTTCAGACACAGCAGTACTTTTTCTCCTGTAACAAAGTTGTATGTTCCATCCCCTTGGAAAGACACAATCTGTCTGAAATAATACAAAGACTCAGATAGTCTTCACCTGACTGGGCAACTGTAGAGAATAAAACAGCCCCTCACCTTACTATGATCCAAGACAAGAACAGTTGCTTCCAGATGAGTCTTGCAAACCCCACATACAGACCCTGCCCTCTTCAAGGGCTGCCTTCTGTACTGCAGGGTTACATCCACAGCAATCCTTTCCCTAGTTTATATTTCCTGCCAGATCATTTAAGGACTCAATTCGAAGCAAATCTATGCTTTAATGAAGGAAACTTTCTTTCAGGAATGGGGAGCTCAGGTAGCAACTGTCTAATACAATAGTACTGTTCACTTACACCTCCCCATGCATTCCCCATTAAAAGCACTATTTAATTAATATTATTTCACAAATAAAGAGAATTTGACTGTAAATAAATTTTTATTTTACTATTCAAACAAGAAGGTTGCATAACAGAAATGGGTGTAAACTTGAACCATTCTGTAGCTCAGAGTTCATTGCAATGTTCACAGTGGTAAAAAGATACAGTATTTTAACAAGGAGGTTCTGCTAGACAAATGCTGACCTATACAGTCTTATGCACTTAGTCTTTTGAAAGGTTAAACAAGTTGTTCTGTAAAATGAAATTTAAATATAAAACTGAAATGGTAAAAACTCAGCCCACCTGTTGCCTCTACCCAGGAAAATGTAAATTCTGTAGGCAGGTCATTGTATTCAGAGTTCCCTACTGCCATACATATATGCCTCTGTAGAGGTATCTTCGTGGCTTGAAGCAAATAGCTTGGTGTCTGCCTCACATCTAAACTAGGAGAGGAGTATCCAGAGGACCTGAAAGGAGTTTGGTGCAATACAGGTGTTTAGGATGGCCTGCAGCAGTCAATGCTGGGCACTTAATAAACCAGAGGAGATGCAGAACTTTATTATAAAGCAAATGTTATCATAGCTGGTGCAGTACAAAGGGGCCTCTCTTGTTTTATTCAAAGTTTATGAGATGCTGTTTCATTTCTGATTAGTACCCTGCTTTTATCGAGGAAAAGGTGGCCATAGCTGTGCTGCCTCCTACCTGTTACCAGAGGTTACTATGCTCTCCTAAACCAAGGACATTGCAGTTTCTTAGTCCGGGCATTAATTCATTCACATTTTGCATACGCTCAAAGAGAAAGCACAAGGGAAAAGCAGGAGCTTAAGCCGTTTTCCTAAAAAAATGTTCAAACTACAAATTGTGGAACAGGAGGTTCCATCTTCCCACATATCAGACACCAGGAGAAATAACCATCCTGTGTTTTTCAGATGGTGCCTGTGGTACAGCTAAGAGTTATTTAGCTATTTTGCTTTTTATAAGCATATATACCATAAAAATTTTGTCTTAGAACCTGAAAGTAATTTAAAACATAATTTGTCCTGTCTGCGTATGCTTGTATCTGTCCATAAGCCTCCTGCTACATTTGACAAGGTAAATCCACAAGTTGTGTCTTTAGCTCTTTACAACCTGCTGAAAAAAATACAGATTCCATGGTCCATCACAAAATCTCTCCTTTTTTTCATCCTGCAACACCACTAAGTTTTCAAATCCTCCAGTGTGCTAATGAAAAGTTATGATTGTTATAAAATGTGAAAGGTACTGTATAAATTGAACTCTATGAGAGTCCAGATGAGTCCAGCTGAGAGCTTCCAGGTGTCTTAGCTATCCCTTTGTAGACTGCATCCAGAGCACACACTTGTGCCTATGAGAGTAATTAATGTCTCTTAATTGCTGTGATGTGGTCCTTTTTATTCACATGCATTCGTCTTCAGTTAAGAAGAGAGCTACCACAAAAAAAAATGCATTCACAAGAGGGATTCTAGGAGTTAAACCAAATAACTGACATTCCTCTTCCTGCACAGATCATGCAGTGAACACCATATAGACATTTGACAGACTTTATTCTGGGAACTCGTGCTTTTTTATAAAAGTGATATTTAACCTTACACTTGCTTATTTGCACTGCAGATTCCCTGAAAACAGAGAGCAACACTGAATTGCCCTCCTGAATTCTAGAACATACTTACATTTTGGTGCAATGTGCACTTTGAGCAGTAGGTGGAAACAGAGCAATGAAAATAAGACCCGTTACCAAGCCTTCAGCTCAACAAATGGAAGAGCTTTTCTCAACAAGCTTGACAGATCTCAGAAGGGAGGAACGGCAGCTAAAATCCACTTCATTTTGTTGGAGGGCTTCTATCATTCTCTCTTCTTTCACATAAGAATAAGAGAAAATATTATCCTTAGTCTTCTTAAAATTTAAGTTTTCTTTCTTTAAATTTTGGGATACCTTTATTCAGAGTGCTCAGATAAATTTCTGTTGGCTATTCTTCAAATATTTTCATGGAAATTAGACATACAGCAATCTTTCCTCTATTGCTATTGCAGTTTTGCAAAATTTTATGTTGCTGTTTTTGTCTGCTGCCATTTCCTTGTTATAGATTCTAAGCAAATAAAGTAGTGAAAATAGAAATGTAATGCTCTCCTTTCACTTGCTTATGCAACAAGAAAATTAGAGCTAGAAAAGTTACCCTAATTCTGCTCCTTTTATCAGACAGTTCTAGGAGACTCTTTATCATAATGTTTTTGGGTGTTTTTTTCATCTCAGGAAAGAGAACTGGAACAATATTTAGCTTTGGATGGTAGCCATATTTTATATATTATGTTGCTTGTGGAAAATTTGGCTCCAGAAAAGTCCATATGCAACTGCAGCAAAAGCCTACAGAAATGAGGAGGAATGATGTGGCATTATACTGGAAACCACAAAGCAGAAGTGGGACACACAACAGCAGTTCTGGTCCAAGCATTCACGGTCAGGATGGGATGTCCAGGCCTTCTTATATTACTTCCAAGATAAACGGTTTAAGACCATCCATTTGAAAGGACATAGTCATGATTTATGCAGCCTCAAAAGAGCTTGACCTAGTCATCCCTCACCCTTTCAGTACTGCCTGCAGAGCTTGAAAGGTCTGGGTTAAGGAGCTGGTACAATAGTAAGGGATGTCTAGTTTTATTTTGAGTTCATGATATGCTGTTTCATTTGCGACTGCTACCCTATTCCATTCTTGCAAGTCCTTCTATTTCTTTTTTCTTTAGCTAAAACATTGGTGATTATCAATAAATTGCACAATTTCATTATGCATGTTTGCCCAAGTTGTGCATCTATACCCCCCTTTTAACCAAGAAGAGGCCAGACAAATCATATCTCAAGCCAATTTTACAAATTGAAGCAGATTTCAACTGCCTGAGGTGACTTAGTCAAACGGCTCAGATGCCAGAGCAAGTATTCATACTGATGGAATGCAAGTCAAAATGTGAACTGAACTTAAAACCTGTTGAAGCTTGGGGGTAACTAAGACTACTGTTCCAGTTCCAAGAAAATATAATCTTCTATCTTCTGGGTAAATATATTCAATAAATTAGATTAAATTATTTCAAACACATTTTCTAAACTCTGTAGTATCAAATGCTAAGCTAAACTCAAAGACCTGATGTCAGATAGGTGCATAAAACTACTTTCCTGAAGGAAGTTTGTGCATGATCTGTTCATTGAAGGTTAGATAGGTCAAGATATAAATGCAATTAAAAAGTAAAACCTTTGATTGTGGAAAGGTTTTGGGGAATTCAGTGCCAGTTGCCATTAAATTAAACCTGCCAGTGGGATACTGTATATTTCCTCAAAGATTTTTGAAAATAGTTAAAAAAATAAATCAATTCCATAGGACAAATAGTATCTAGCTTAGTCCTTTGTCCCTCATGAGTTGGTCATCCTAATCTTTGTAATTATGGTCACCTTTAGAGAAGACACATGTTAAATAGCATGAAAATCTCCTTGCAACATAATAAAAGAGTGTCACGCATCCTTCACTTACAAATGAAAGGTGATGAATTCCTAAATGAAGAACAGGAATTGTTAAACACATCTTTAAGTGGTTCTTGTGTACTTTCTCTAACATCTCTGCTTGAAGTAGTGTCAGAAGATATTGGCATGCATTCAATTTATCCTATTATTCCAAATCAGCTAAATATTTAGAGAACAGATTTTGTACTTTTAGTATTCTAGCTATATGACTGAGCAGTTTCATGACGGCACCACCCTAAAGAATTCACATACTGGTTCTGAAATAAGAACAAAAAAAGGGTTTTCAGGATAGTCAGAGCCCATATTCCACATGGCAGGAGTACAGGGGAAATTCTACTTGTAAATTAAACAGAGATTATATGGAAAACACTGCAAGCACAGATGTTCTTTTTTTATTTCAAATCAGTTCCCATTTTAAGTTCCTCAGGTGAGATTATTGCTGCAACACGGACTTACCAATTTTGGCACTGAAGAGTGTAGCTCAGGAGAGCTTTCCAGATGCAAAAATTTCCACTGCTCACAAAGCGTTTGAGGACTTGACCACTGAATAGAGGATGCTTGATGTGCCTCCAGTTGCTACTTCCAACAGCTAAAATCCCTTTTCCACCAAGATTCGAGTTTCAGGCTAAAGCAGACTGGAAGTTTACCTCTGCTGTTATCTACTTTTGCTGGCTGGCAGTTGCTGTTGGTGATTGGAAGTGTTACTAGGAGTGGTTTTGGCTCTGAGTAGGATAGCTGTGAGTCAACATGTGGGATAAATCCAGACATGCCCAGCTTTCCCCCTGCTCTGTAAACACAGTGATCTGATACAGAAATCTGACTTTAAAGCACTTCAGATGCAGTAAGTATATCTCTGCCTTTCTGACACATAAAGACTGTTGTCATACTCAGCCCAATAATCAGGCTCTTTCTTGAGGCACCCTCAATTGCAATGACTTCCTTGCCTACAAGGTCAAGTATGAGTGATAAGCATCAAGAGTGAGATCCTGGCTGCTGCAAAGCCAAGAGAAAAAGCCCATTGATCTCAACAGAATAATAGCATTGCCTCAAGACACTGCAGATCACTTTGGAGGAGACTTCCCACAGAACCCATTTTTTTCCTCTCCATTGTACTGTTCTGGCCACTTCTTCGAATCTTCTCCATCTAGAGCAAGTCTCTTCTAGCAGAAAACCCTTCATGACAAATTTCCCTGCCCTGTTTCCACTGTTTCCTCAAACAGTCTGCCTTTATATTCTTTTTTTGTTTTGATAAGTTAAATTCCAGCTAATACTGTAATCTGGAATATATACACACTATTTTTTTTCTGGGTGAATAGCTGTTAAAGCAAGAGTCATTCAGCCAAGTTCTTTAGAGTATGTCTTTATGCTACACATCAGGAGGACAGCAATTGCTTTCCTGGGTTTAATATCACACCTACTACACAAGTTTTGGCAGTGTAGAATATCTTCTGCAGACAGTCAGGATTTTATCAGGTGGCCAGCAGTAAGCTGTATTCATTCACTGAAGCTACTAACTGACACAGTAAAGATGGATTATCCTATATGAAATGTTAAAAGAATATATTCAATAGACAAACTGGTACTGTGCTTTTGCAGGAGACGATATCAGGAATTTGTGTTTCAAATGTTTAGAAATAAGGTGGTCATAGACAGAAAAAGACATACATGGCCATATTCTTTGCAGTCTCTGCCTAATCCTACTATTTCCAATAAGCAGAACAAACAGACATAAACACAGTTTTCAGATGTTTATTAAGAAAATTCAAAGAGAAATAAAGACAGTAAGAAATAAGAAGACTGATTCCAGTGAAGTCAGGATTTCTCCAAGAATGGCTACTAATATTACATACTTATCCACTTACAAATATGTGCAGTTTTGTCCCTATAATATTTTAGGATTAAAAAGAACCCTTTGATCTTTACTCTGACATCCTGTGAAGGCCATTGGCATCCTGTAAAGGCCAGTGAACTGCTCTGAATTTTGTTTATATTAGAATGTGTTTTTTAAGATAAAGTTTTTAAGAAAAAGATAATTTACCAGACACTGTAGTATATATTTATCACAGATCATAGAAAACTGGATCCTTGCAGTGATGCTAATTCTGCAACCCAGATATTTGCAGAATTCATGTACAGGGCATAAAAAGTTTTCTCATTACTCAAATTAGGCCATTAAACTGGCAGGGCATGAAAGAATTCTCAAATGGTTCTCAGATAATTTTCCATCACCCTTTAACACTGCAAAATTTATTTGCCATTAGATCTTTGAGTAGACAGCTATAGGGTAATCTCTCCCCTAGTCATCAACAAGTTTGACAGCACTTGATTAAAATGTAAGCATCTTAGATGCAGAGCTGCCTGTAAGACACTTTTAGAAGTTGAAGACTTATCTAAAGCAAAAAGTAGTTTATCTAGCTGGCTTGCTGAGCTTTTGGATGCTGGTCTCTCTCGTGGTAATTAAAATGTACCAAAAGCAATTCATTATAAGCTCTGTATACATATGCATGAACATACTTGTATTTAATTGTCTCTACATCAAATTTCTTTTAGGAGTCTTGGATATTATCAACTGTAATGATATTATACAACCAAATAGACCAGTATCTGACAATGCTCAGTAAACAGCACTGAAAATACTGCATATATAATAATACATTAGGTTGATACAATCCTTTCCTATTGAACTACTTCATAACTGAAAATTTCTTAGAATATTTAGCATACGCCATCATAAAATTACAGTGAATCATTAAGTAGCAGCCCTAACAGCATTTTAATAAGACAAGAGTGTATTTAATGTCAGTTAGCAATGAGTGTAACTCTAAAAATATACACTGTCTGTGAGTCTGTGTTTCTTGGATAGTAATTCAGGACATCTTAATTTTATGATGTCAGTCCTCTGTCACCCCATCAAAACCTTTGATTCAGTGCCCCTTGCAAAATGGCACAAGTTCAAGAGCATATCAAGGAGTGGAGAACTTAAAACACACACAGTCACTTACAAGTATTATCATGCACTCAGAATAATTGCTACTTAAAAAAGCCAGGGGCTATCAAGCAACATTTTAATCTTAATTTAGAGTAACTACAGTGTATTAAACCCCTCTCTGCAGTTTTTAACTGAAGATATTTAAAAATATTTTCCTTTCCCGCTGAAACGAAGGGAACTGTTGAGGAATTCTCATTGACTAGTGTTTCCTCAAAGTACTGAGGAAATCACAACAGACTTTCAGTTACAAGTAGACACAACTCCTCTTTCCTTTCTTTATTTAGATTAATTCATTTAGATGGTTTTTAGATTAACAATCTAAAACCAAGCTGAATTTTAACTGATAGCATAGCCTCATAGCTGTGCTTTAAATAGAAGTCTATTTGGCACATGAAAAAGCAAATCTTGTCTTACTACATACAATATATAGAAATGTGACTTGTATTTTAAGAATTCCGTTCATAGCATTTTGTGTTAACCTACTCTACTGTGCCTTCCATCACTCTAAAGTAGACAAATAATAAAAATGCATATTGTATATAAATTGAAATTGACTGCTTTTACTCTTGAATAAAGAAATCACAAAATCAAGTCATCCATTACAATGCAGTATGGACACATGAAACTTTAAGAGAAAAAAATTGAAATCTCCCAGGAGGTGCAATTGTTTCTTTCATAGAAGGTAGCTCAGCAATAAATGCCTAAATCTGTTCTTCAGTATTGAAATGGCACATCCTAAACTATTTCAAGACATAAAGGATGAATGCCAGTCTTAAAGATGGCAAGAAATTCTTGTAAAATCTGCTGTGAACAATCCAGGCCTGGTAGCTAAACCAGAAGGAAATATCATGTAATTACTTCCAGTGTTCTCAAGGGGCCTTGCTCATAGTCATAACAATGAGAATTAAAGCTGTGCATCACCCTTCTCATTAATTAACCTATTTCTTTCTACAGGTGCGATGTATGAAAAAATAAAATTATGGAGACATAAATTGTCACCAGATCTCTGAGCTTCCTTTTGCAGAGGGGCTCCATGGGGGTGCCCCTTACTCACAAAGCAGCAGGGAGCAATGCCTGTGTCTTGCTGTGCCAGAGGAGAGCAGGCAGGCGAGCAGACAAAGAAGTCAGCTGGTCACTTCAGCTTCGGTGATCTCACCCTCTCCTCCCACTAGTACAGAGTAAGGAGCTGCTACACTTGGACTGATTGGTTTTATTTTATTACCTGCTCTCCTGACATATAAGAGATGTTAACGTCCAGTTCTTGATTACTTAAATTAATTTGGAATTATTGGACGCAAGCCAGCTGATGATGACAGAGCTTGGGATTTTCTTCTCCCTATATGAAAAGGAAAACAGTGCTGGGCAGTTACATCAGTGCTTTTGAGCAAGGCATTAATAAATCATGTGGAGATTACTGATACTGATGATTACTCACAAGCAATACTTGAGAGCTCAAGTTCCTGAAAAGAACCAGGTGCCTAAAATATGTATTTCAATGATTATTTGTTTATTGAGAATGTCAGCCTTCTCTGTACTGATGACATGAAATTAATTCATGATTTATAGAAATACTAGGGAAATTATTTGCTTGATTCAATGTTATGTTTGTATAAAGTAGAATGAGTATGAATGGAATCTGCTTCATTTTGAGAATTTTTTCTTATGAACAGATGCTTAGGTTTACTCATTCTCATTTAATAGCAAAGTTAAAATTTGTCTCATAAGTAATGAAAAATATTGGTAAAAAAATGTTGCTTCTCACTGCCATGGAATATAGCAACTGATTGTCTACAGAGCTGAAAAATGGATACTGAAAAGAATCTACATGCCCAAATTCTATTCAAGTGACTAAACTATTTCAGAACTGTGTCCCCTGATCTACCTTGTCATTTTGCACACTGGCAAATGGCTGAAAAAAACCCCATTTAATATAGTTTGGCTCTTGTGATTCTTCCTTGCTTTGTGTTACATCCATCCCTGGATGTTCTGCAACCCTGCTTTTCTATTTCTTTAAACAAAAGCTGCTTCTTTGATCATGTCTAGTGTGTGCCAAGACACAAGACAGATGCTCCAATGGTGCAGTCGAAAATCCTCAGAAGGAAACTTTTTATTGGAGAAAAAAATTACGCCTGCACTTGAGATAAAGAATGAATTCATTCTTCCTTTGGTTATTCTCCTGCTGCAGGTGAAGTGCAACTGCCTCTGCTAATGGCTAGGAGATTCCACCTTTTCTCAGCAGCAGTGAATGGCAGCGTGGGCTGGATTGCCCAGATTTGCAAACACAAATTTTTGTGGAAACCGTCCACAAACAGCTCTCAGGAATGCAAAATGTGCAATGAAACATGTGGCAACACTGGATGATTAATCAATATATCACAACTAGAAAATGGTTATGTAACCAGCTGCTAAAACTGCCAGCTTAATAGAAGGACAGATTATAGAATGCCTTCACTTTTAAAAATTTAGGGAAGAAAGAAGGGAGGAAGTGAAGGAGGGAGAAAGGGAATAGAAGGGAAGGGAAGTGGAAGAAAATATAATACAAAAGGAAGAGGGAGGGTAGAAAGACCTTGTATTTGATTTTTTTTCATAGGTATACTTCTATATATTTTTAAAA